GATGTACTTTTTCAAAATGTATACGATGTTATGATCCTCTGCATGCATACGACAATCATACATAATTCTCGTCTCCTTAAATTCAAATTAAGTAATCTAATCATTTAATTTAATCTGTTAACATGCGTAATTCATTAGTATCGTCAAATAAAATATTTTGCCCTTATATTAAATGGTGTCTATTAAGATTCTAAGAATCGGGGTAGTTTAGATCTATACAACTATATATATATATAAACAATAGTGATTTGTATTATCTCTTACTTGGGACATAGGCCAGTCATTGTGAGGAAAGGGCGTACACATCGGCCATTGATTGTTGGCAAAAGGTGGAGAAAAAGAATAGCCCATTCCTAGGGGTCGGGAAAAAAAAATGATTAATTACAGTTATAATAATCATATGATTAAGGCTCTAATGATCATGCTTGTCAATTTTGTAATGACACTGTGTTCATGTAAGAAAATAACTCTCAAATGAGGTTCACTTTATCTTTTTATGAGTTTATTATTGAATGACGATGACGGTGACAATATTGATGTAGTGTCACTGTTACACTTAGGGTTTGTTTGGATAAATTTTTGAGAAGAATTTGGATTGATTTTCTCAAATTTTTTCAAACTCAAACCCCTCTTTAAAAAAATGAAATTTAACATTGAATCCGGTTCATACCCATGTTTGGTATACGACATACACAAATAGGACCCATGAATATATCATAATTATTAATAATTATTTGTCATATAAATGACTATTTTACGTTTAATCAATCCAATTCACACACATATTTAGGAGTACAATTGTCTTTTGCGTCTTTAACTCATCTTTCCAAACTCATCTCCTCTTAACTTTGACAAAACTCATAATCATGGGTTTAATATTCGAACCAGCTACTGGCCGAATTTGAAACTTCACGATAAAATTCCCCCCCCCCCCCCCTCCCCCAACCCTTTTACCAAACAACCCCTTAATATTTTCTCTTCCTATCTCTCCCTCTGTCGGGATGTCTAAGGACGTAAAGTGTATTTATATACAGTTTCCCTAGACGGCTTCATAAAGCCGCATCATGTATTTTCTTATTGTAAGATTCTTCTACCTTTCATGAATCCCGATCGTCAAGTATCTATGATAAATAATATTAGACAAATAACTATCAGTGACTTCAAAATTTTATTAAAAAATAAACAAAAATTACCAGTTTCTCATTTGAATATTAGCTCGTGATTACGCATCATTGGCGTGCCCTTGATTCATTAACTAATGAGGAGTTGATAACACTAAATATTGGGTATAATAGTTATATTACTTTAACATTAATATGTGATATAACTGCTTAATGATAACTCAATAATTAGACAAAATAAAACCCATTATTTTAAATAATCACCCACCATGCAAGTGAGGTGCACTTGATCACTTGTTTGTTTATTATTGAACGATTATACAACGTGATAATGCTAACATGATGTAACCGTTACACCCAATATTTATTCGGTTGGTAGTAGTTCTAGACTTCTAGCTAGTGAGGGGGGATGTTATTTTTGAATTAGATCAAATCGATAAAAAATTAAAAACATTATGAATAAGTTTATTAGATATCTGATAAGAAATATATAAAGATTTAACAATATTTAGTGGGGTTTGAGTGACAATATCTAATCTTTATAAATAAAGTTAAATATCATATAACGAATTATCAAATTGTTGGACATACAATAAATCATAGATGTGGGTTTTTTCTCCGTGAATGTAATGTAAATGTGGGTCTTTTTGTTTTGCCTATTATTTTTTCTATCTTAAATGCCCACCTCCTAATAATTGGTATCAATGTTGATTAATCGTTGCACAAAACTAACAATTTTTGTAATTCTTTACTCTATTTTTTGGAGTTCTAATTATGTAGTACAAACTCGTAGGCAACTTATTTATGGCTTTTTGTATTTTGCTCACGTCATAGTTAATTGGGCGTGGTTGTATAACTGTTTTTTCAACCTTATGCATTGTTTTTTTATGTAAATCTTTAATTTTTTTTTTTTGGTTGAAATTCTATTTCTCTATTTTATTACTACTTCGTACGAGATTCTTGATTAAGGAAGTTTTTTTTTGGGTAAGTAAGGATTAAGGAAGTTATTTACTTATTTCCTTAACATGATTAACGTAATCTCTTACGCATTAATGTCAGGCGCAGCATATGTGGTATTAATTTCTCAGCGACAAATTAATGCTATTAGTTTATTCTATACGTACGGCAGTCCATCTTCCACATAAAAATATATAGCAATGGGCGTGCTGATTCAGATATCATCTATGATACTAATTCAACAATAAATATATTTGTATTCATATTCAAAATTAAATTATAAAAAAGAGATAGAAATAAATTTAAGTACCGATTGTAGTGAGGTGTGATCGGTGATAGTGGTGGTGGTGGAAGACGGTGATAGTTGTAATGAGTGACGACGATCGATTATAATGGTTATAGTCGTGGGTGACAATGATGATGATAGTGGTGAGACGATGGGGTGATGGTGGTGGTGGTGGTAGAAGTGATAGTAAGACAGTGACGGTGGTGATAAGGTGGCGATAGCGATAGTGGTAGTGAGGTAGTGATAGGGTGACGATAGTAGTTATGACAAAGGTGGTGGTAGGGCTACAACAGTGGTGGTGGGGGTGGGAGTGATTGTAGTGGCAGAGGTGATGGTGGTGATAGTGAGGTGACGGCAATGATGGTGGTGGTAGGATAGTTGTAGTGGTGGGGTGATGATGGTGGTTGTAGCAGTGATGGTGATGAGACAGTGGGGTTGGGGGTGATAATGGTAGTGGTGATGATGAGATAGTTTCAAACGCTATTTTTTATTTATAAAGTATTTATGAGAAATTATAAGTTATAGAAATATTTTTAATAAATTACTCCAAACATGCCCTTAGAGGTCCATTTTCTCTATTAAATTTGAGGTGTTAATATTAGCCTTTAAATTAATTTCAAAATAAAATTTAAAGAGATCTCAACCATGAAAAACAAAAGTCATTTTATTTATCTTTTGAAATTTAAATTGTATTATATTTTATTATATAAATTTTATTTCGATAGTTGCTCATTAAATATGCATTGAAGGGGAAGATTCAAATGTTTAGTTTAAATGATACAAGTTTAAAGTATGATAATTTATCTACAGATTCTTTTTCTTGATAGCACGATGATAAGGTCTCTCTCTAACTGAATTAGGGTATAAGGTAAATAAGAAGACTTATCCTATTATGAGCTACTATTGCATACGGAAGGTCTATACTTTGTTGCCTTAGTCAGAACAAAAAAAAAGATGTGCATAAGACTATTGAAATAGACCACATAATATATATGTATTGTTTAGTATAACATGTATGTTTGAACCAACCAGATCTTCGGGTCAATTTTGACAAATTCAAAAATAATTACTAATTAATGGAAGCTTAATTTTGAAAAAAATTCGACAAAACTCAATTATGTAGATTAAGTTTTATTTCAATTTATTTTGATTATCTATCATTGAAATAAAGGGAGAAATTTTTTATCAAAATCGATTATCTAACCACTGTTGGTGAATATTCACAATGTACTTAAAGGAGGATGAAGATCCCGCGGGGGGTTTTCAGTTGGTTCACTTTTAATGGTGGACTTGCCTCCAGCGCGAGGTGAAAGAGCAACTTGCAATTTGTGTAGTGTAGTGACCCATGACCAAATGCATAGCGGCACATGATTCTTCGATTTGATTAACCGGCCCCAAGATTATTATATTTATCATATGTGCTTTTAACTACCACCATTTGTTTTAGATATCACTAATGGCTTATCTTATTATTATTGGTGAATAGTATGGGACTGCAAATTTACATATATATATATATATAGAGAGAGAGAGAGAGAGAGAGAGAGAGAGAGAGACCAGGTCAGTCATGGAGCCGGCGGCTTCCCTTTGAACTCCAATCAGCCGACATGGTCTTCAATTTATGGTTTTGAACATTTAAAACTTGCTGACTACCCAAACATGAAAAAAAAAAAAAAAAATTAATTTGGAAGTGTTAAAATGGAAAAAATCTCTATTTTTCTTCCATGTAATCATGAAGTTTGACAGTGAACATGTTGCCATTTTCAGTTTAAAAAAGGAAGGTTGCTTTATACCATGTTCATTATGCTTGGTGTCAAATGACAGCACAAAATCTTTCATTATTTTAAAAAAAATATTATTTAAACTTAATTTGAAGATCTTATTTATAAATTTAATAATGTACAATCATTAGATTAATTATGTGCTCCATTTAATATTAAAATTTATAATTAATCTAATTATGTCATTAAAACCACGTCATTAACTCTTCGTATAAGTTGTCTATAACATTGCCCTTCCTGATCTTCTCCACTCATGAGAAGTACAAGAATGATGTTTTTTTTCAGCTTTTCAGGGTCAGCATTACCAAAAGTTTCACCTGGAGATGCAGGCATTGTCCTCTCCCATTTCAATTTCTGAAACATTGGCTCTTCCTACATTAAAGCCTGCTACTTACTAACTTTTACAATCCGCAACTGAAAATCACTAGTCTACTTTTATATCATGAAATTAAGATAATCATGCAATTAATCCACAAGACAAATGGTGGTACCGAGCCTGACAAATATGATAACAAAACCGAGTTCAAACAATATAATTTGAATCGAGGCCTGTGGAGAACACCATATATAAGTAGCTCTGCATTCAATCTCTTTTTATAAATCAAAGTATATTCTAAAAGTGACAAATGGTTTTTGGTTCTTCCAAGCCACAATTTTTTTAATTCCTGTCGAAGTCAACATTCCATGAAGTTTTTGAATTCCCTGGAAGTAGCAAAAACTATGCTTGGCCTACCAAAAAATAATTAAAAGACCCCAACCCTTCTCTGCTTTACAACTAATATAAGCCAAAAAAAAAATTGAAAAAAAAAGGTTATTAAATAAGAGAATGATTAATTATTTAGCTAAATCACCTAATCAACACAAAAAATCTTCCTTGTTTTCGGCTTTGAGTGGCTTATCTTCCTCAACATCTTCGTTGCTATCAACAACTATGGCTCCAGTCAGTTGTTGAGCTCTCTGCGCTTCAAATTCCCAATCTGTCCGAAGTAAAACAACCAGCATGGTCACCACACACGAGGCCTGGGCGGCGAAGAGACCCAACCACAGCCCTTCAAAGTCGAACCCAGCAAAGAAAGCTAAGCCTACTGCAACTGGCATTCCAACAAAGTAGAAGCAACCCAAGTTAATATTTGCTCCAACTTTAGGCCTTGCTGTTCCTCTCAACACCCCACAACCTGTTGTTTGTGGGCAGTTACCCAACTCACAAAGTCCAATTATTGGCAAAACCAGTGATGTTAAAGCTATGATCTCTTTATCCTGAGTGAACATGGTAGCCCACATGTTTCTCACAGTAAATGCAAACAAGAGTGCTGAGAAACCCAACACGAAACTACAAGAGAGGGCCACAATTGCTGAAAGCTTTGCCTTCATTGGCCGGCCCGCACCCAGTTCGTTTCCCACCCTGGTTGAGACACTGAAGCTGAGAGAAGATGGAAATATGTAGATCAGTGCGGTGATTTGAATAAGAACACCCATTGAAGCCACTGTTGCACTTGGGTTCAACAAAAACCCACAAAGCAATATCATGATTTCATACCACCACCATTCGAGGCACACAGAAATGCAGCTTGGAATGGCTAAATTTAGCAGAGATTTCCAGCCTTTCAAGCACTCGAATGACAACCCTCCCCATGTCTTTTTGTATACACCAGATATTAGTATGTAGATGATCAATGAAGCTACAAGATTGAAGTTAGTCCAAACACCACTAAGAGCAACACCTTTAATCCCTAGACTAAGCCTTAAAACAAGAAAATAATTTATTGGTATATGCAGAAAACTTGCTAGAGTTGCACAAAATGTTAGAGGTAAAGTTATGGATTGAGTTCGAAGATATATTCGAAGTGGGTGTAGTAGAGATTGAGTTAAGAGGTCAGGGAGAGAATACAAAAGGTATGATTGAGCTTCTGTAGCTATTCCTTCATCTTGGCCACAAAAGAGTAGAATTCTCTTCATGTTAAACCATAGAATAGCTATTGGAAATGAAGTAAGCATGAGCAAAAGCACCGTTCTTTGCAAGGAAAGACCGAGGACGGTGTGTTTCTTGGCACCAAAAGCTTGGCCACAAATGGGCTCCATTCCCATGGCAAGTCCAGAAAGAATTGAATAGCCAGCGATATTAGCGAAGCCAACGGCAAGCGAACCGCCGGCTAAGGTGAGCTCGCCTAGGTGGCCGAGGAAGAGCATAGAGATCATTGAACGAGAGTAGAGTAAAAAGCCCGTGAGTATCATAGGAAGAGCTATTTGAGCAATAGACTTTACTTCTCTGACGACAAGAGAGAGATGGTTTGTGTGGGGTTTCTGGGTTTGGTTTGGTTGTTGGTGCTGTTGCTCTGATGTCGGGCTTTTGGGGATCAAGAGGGTGAACATGTCGGATTCTGGGTCTTCTGTTGGCAGATGGTAACGTTGGTTTGCGTTGCATTTGCTGCAGAGAGGAGACGATGTTAGCTGGCACATTGTTGTGTCTGTGACTGTGTGTGTGTGCAGAGAGAGAGAGAGAGAGACAGAGACGGGTAGAGAGAGAGAGATCTGAGGGGGTTTTAGAGATGAGGAAGGCTGTGGGTTTTTATAGGGTTTTCTGGCAGACGGCCTCTACAAAGTAAACCACCACCCCGAGTTATTTATCAAATAAATTTTTAATAATATTTACCTATTTACAACACTTCTATACTTATTCACAACAACCCTGTTTTTAATCTTTAATCGAATAAGACAATATTATTGTTTCAGTCAAATGTAAAGAGGGTGTTAAATTCAATATGAATTTACATTAAAAACGGAGTTGTTGATCACATTTTTAAAAAATATCGCAATTTGATAAATAAGTTCAAAATATTTCATATCAATAATATTGTTTGAAATTTGTCCGGCTAACTTTTTGGTGGAGCTTTGGTGTCCTCTTGTAACCGGCCTGCAATAGTATATGTATGCATGTGTTTGTTTTGGAGAGGGAAAGAGAGAGACAGAGCGAATGAATCTTTTTGCTGAACTAAGATTTGAGGTATTTGGGTGTATTTTTTCCCCCTAAAATAACAGTATGTGAGGCTTCTCTCACACATAAAAGTATTTTCCAAACTGAAAAAGAGAGTCTACATAAATGGTAGCACTTGTGCCGCTTCATTATAAAATGAGAGTCAAAGGCTACAGTAGCGTTTTCGATTAGAATCCATGAGGGACAACTTAACTTGATTCCAAACCATGAGACAAAACATCTTTGGCCGTTGTACATACCCATTTTCTGGAATGATGAAGTGCTTATAAGCCCAATTTATATGTCTGATCCGGTGGTGTGATTATGTATAAAATTAGTCATAGATTAAAGCTTTTTGACAGCCAGAATTTTGTCCATTTTGTCTCGGATTAGCTAAAGCGTCAGTTTAAAACTTAATACTACAATTGTTAACTTTAATGTACCACCAAAAGGCGTCCTTGTTAGATACCTTCTATGAGGTATAAATAACAAATTAAAGAAGTTTTCAACCCGACTGGTGAAAGGTGTTTATGGCCGCTCTAATACATAAAAGTTTATGTATAGGAGTTTTGTCAATTAAACCAGGTTCGGTATCCACTTTCGGTGGGGTTCACACCTTTGAAAATTTAAACGGAATGGGCCGGATTTTAACCCAAAATCTGAGCTTGTACCACATAAAAACTACCATTAATCTTCAAGATGTACCCTTGATTTGTCTGAACTACTAGTATCATAGGTTTAATGGTGTATTCTTCGATGTAGTTCTTGTCAACAACTACGTATCCTACTTTACACTTTTTTTTTTGATATAGCACTTGCTAGCTACTTTTTTATTCCTTACAAACAGAATATTACGATCCTTTAAACTCTAATACCACTGCTAAATTCTGGAACTTAGATAACAGATGGATGCAAACCTTACCCAAAAAGATTTAAGCTAAAGACATAGCTTTGAATGAGGTTTGTCATACTTTGTATATTAAACCCTATTTTGTTTTCTTACCCAGTCGACATTGGATTTACCCTTTCGGCTCTCACACGTGGGTTCCTAGTGTCTTAGGTTCAGCCAAAATTGGTAACTTTTGGTTCTTTTCATGTGACAAGTAAAGTCGGCTGGGGGTTGCAAATTTTATCTTAAGTCCTACTTCTACACTATTTCGTCACACCAATCAATATATATATATTGAGGAGGAGATTAATCGAATTACATATAAGTTGGTTTGAACATTCTTAACCGTTAAACTAATATATCTATATATCTATATATATATATATATTTTGACACATTGCCAAGTGGACAACACTGAGCGTTCTCAACGGTCAACGGCTTGTGGTCCTTTATTTAAACAGTCTCCAACCCTTTTTTTTTTATTATGAGCCCAATAAAATGGGACCATTCTTACATATAGAGACAAAATCCTGGTCGCAAGAAGGTGTACAAAATTCTTCATAAAAGGAAGTCTACAACTTTGCATGCCAAGACTCCGTTCATAACACCTTTTTTTTCTGTCTTTTTCTCTTTTGATAAATCGTTCACAACACTTTACTTGACCCACAGATAATCGAGTTCCCACTTCCCATTCTTAGTCATTGGGGGCAGATTCTAGCTTCCCACAGATAACAATGGTCATAGTTTTTCTTTGAAGTTAACAAGGAAAATGGTGGTCATTTTGTTGTAAGATCAAGTGGAAACCTATGGACACCTCGGTATTATAGTTGGAAAAAGTTCGTCCAATGTAGTACATAGAATACAAGTCATCATGTTTGGGCAGTATTGAACCAACAAAACAAAGGGATCAACTATGAGAATCTTCACATTCCCTGGTGTCAATCGAGTCACATATAGAGATCAACCATACAAAAATCCTCAAATTCATGTAGACATCACCTATACGTATATGTATGCGTAAGGGTGTCAATCGAGCCATCCTGTTTCACTTTCTGATTGTGTCATCTTCATATGTTGTCATTTGGGTCTGTGTTTTTATTTTTTTGGTATCGAATTCGTGTTGGGTTAATGTCGATTTACATGACCCATAAAAAATTGCCAACATATGTGTGTGAGTGATCACCCCCCACTAAGAGTCTGGTCTGAGTCAAAAACTAGAGTCACGCCCGTAATAAACAAGCACAGACGACCAACCCACTGCTTCCAGTATTAGGTTTTACATTGGACAAGTGTAATGCTCATGGAGTACACTAAACGATTTTTATGAAACATGTGATTGGTAGAGTGTGAAGAGTTCGCCTTACAAGCACCGTCCTAACAGTATAAAGCGGTTCAGATAAGTGACAACAAAGATAAGATCTGAAAAGGATAATAGAGTCCAAAAGAAAAAAAGTTCAAACCGTATTCTGATCCACAACAGTAATTCTCTCGCCACATGTAATGTAATGGGTAGAATTTGGATTGTTTCAAGTTGGGTCAGAAATCGATTTTCAACTATTATTTCGAAGTTCTTATAACAATTTTAAAGATTCGGTCTTCACCAATTACACATGTACTATAAAAAAATCTCGACTGTACAATTCTCATCTTGTGACAATCTCAGGCCAAAAATCATTAAAAGTATGATTGTTCATTTCATCGTACAAAGATCATGTTAAACTAAGACTAGTTCACCTTCTAGTTTAGACTGGAGGGTCAAACTATCCACACCTAGTCATATATTTAGGTTTTTTCTCAAATGTGAACAAAGCTTTATAGTTCTAGATTGCACTAAGCATTATGAAAGATTCACAAATCATAGTATAATCCTCTACTAACATTCTAATTCCTAACAAGGACCCATCAAGTATGACAGTTTTCTTGCAATAACGTATATCAAATGGCCGGTCTTGTGACTACTACTGCACATATAAGGTCAAAAAGAATAAGGGTATTATCAACATCACAGCTTCTCAAAGTCTCAGTCTATAACTACATTAGTCATCAATGTCAATAATTTAATAATATTGTCGTCTTAAACAAATTATTTATCGATATCATATCTTTTTCTTTTAACTCTAGCTGTCATCCATATAGATTTTTAGGCGGTGTTTGGTTAAAATATTACGGAAAAATGTTAGATTAAATTCATTCGGTCACAATTTATCACCAAATTTGAATCAAGTAATAGGGTCTAATATTACTCCGTTATCTAATTCCACGTATTTTGCATTACTCTAATTAATAAGATGTGATAAATTGTATGAAACAAATCATGGTTGTTGTCAACTATAAAAAGATGATCAGAGTACCCGTAATTGGTCAGAGAATCATTAAATAATGTTTTTTTTAAACATCATACATTAATTGCTCATTCAAACATGAAATTAATATTAGAATAATGACTCGCCCCCAATCCAAACATCAATCCATGTCTAAGATTAATTGAAATAATGTAAAGTGGCTGACAAATTATTATCCAAAAGTGAATTAATTAAAATTAATGGTCTTGTCTCATCTCGTGTAATATCGGAAATAGACACTTCGTTTACATTATTGTCCACCTAACAACCCAAAACAAAATAATATGTTTAAAAATTATTTTTTTTGATACCATAGCCGAAATCGTTTCTAACTAAGAACTTAGAAATAGAATCATCGAAAAATACCTTTTTGACTTGTCTTCGTCAAGAAATCCATTGCATTTTTATCTCTTGTTTCGTCTTCGCTGCACACTAAAGCCAAACCCCATTTGTTTTTTTTGTGGAAGAAAGAAACAGAAGCTGTGCGAAACAAGGGAAATTCGGTCATCTGGTGGACAGAGGTTCCGGTTTAGTGGGTTTGGGGCTGCCCCAATTGTCAAGCTATGAGTCCTCCACAGCTCTCGGTGCATGCGGGTCTACGATCATTGTCGGTCTGTGTGCCGTACTGACCGGGTGATTGGTAGACTTTGAATTGATGATTGACCTAATGACATTTTTGGTTGCTAAGTGGGGACAGTAATCATGGGTAATGCTTCCAGAAGTATTGACCCGTGTAGTTTAGCGTGACAAAAAAGTTTGTATATTTGTTGTTTTGTATTCGAATTGTGTCATTTTAAATGTATCAACTTACATGCATTTTGATTAATATTCTATCTAATCTGGTATGATAGAACTAGGGTATTCATAGCTTAGTCCGAAAGAGTTACCAAAATTCAAATTTAGAATATTTAAATTTACAGTTGATCTCTATTATCATTTGAACTACGTACCTCTAGCGTTATTATAAACTTGTATTAAGTACTAATTATTTTATCCCTTAATCTCTGTGTTAGTTGTGTTATAATTAATGGGGATCAACATACATACAAATCTAGCAAAAAAAAATCGCTTCTCTCCCAACCAAAACTACAATTCATAGATTGACACCCCATACCCACCGACCCACGCACCTTGCTCTATATGTATATGGTTTACCATCATCAAAAAAACTTAGAAATCGTGTTACTCCTGTTGAAATCGTGTCACTCCTGTCGAAATTCCCACCCACCTTACTCTATATGTATATGGTTGCCATCATCAAAAACTTCAAAATCGTGTTACTCTTGTCATATTATAGTAGTTAGATTAGTTGATTGTGTCAAAATCGTGTTACTCGTGTAGGTAACGTTGTATCATTTATTAAGGTAGCCCCACGCGGAAGAATGTGAGATTCTAAGCAATTAGAGAATGGGTTTGGTTTAGAAAAATATCCTACTGAGTCATTTACTATCCTTTTACATAGTCAAAAAGCATAGGACAGGACCTCTGCATGAAATTCAAATTAAGAAATCTATTGGACCAGAAAGCTTATATATATTAAGGTTGTGATATTTTGCCCAAGTTCTTTGTAAATCTTTTTCATGCATTAATTGTACAATGTTGTAGTTTTTTTTTCAATAATGATGTTGATGACACAACTCTCATTATACATATTTTATCTCATTAAAGCTCAATGGCATTCTCAGAATGGTAATTCAAGCTTAAGATGGTGACATCCATAAATTATCAAACGGATCCTTTTGCTAATTCTTTTGAAAAATACGTTTATTCAATAAAAAAAAAAAGAAAGTAAATTTTCTTTTTTATTATATATATTTTTTCAGTAAAATCAATTGAAAAATAGTGGATGACCAAGACAATGTGAAAAGCAAAAGTGTTTATATAATTATTCTTTTAAAATTTTAATATTAGCAACATCTTCATGCAATTGAAGAATTTTGATTCTATCCTTTCCTACACATATATTTACAAAGGAAAAAAAAAGACAATTTATGAAAAACTAGAATGATTAACCTTCCTTTCAACTGATCAAAATTGAGAAAAAAAATTAATTATAAGTGATGAAATATACATTATTCATTTTTTATATCCCTTCATATATTCATATATATTATATTGATCCATCATATATACGGGCGACCATGGCCAAGCCGAGTAGGGTTCGCCTGGCAAAAAATTTTTTGGGTTGGGCTTGGGTAGGGTAGACCCAAACCCTTATCCCGATAAGTTATCGAACGGATCAAGTTGGGCTTCGGGTAGAGGTAGGCTAGCAACTCAATCCGCCACTTACTAGGTGGGTCTACTGAACAAATTTTTTATATACAACTTCATTTAAAAATAATAAATATTTTTATAACTTAATATTTTTGTAGATTACATTTTTAAATTCAAAGTAAAGTCAAAATATACAAAAAATAAATAATAATTAAATTTATTTATAAATAGAGGAGAAATTGTATCACAATAAAATAAACACATCCCAATTTGGTTGACACCTATCCACTTATTTATCATTTGCACAACTCTACCTTTTAAAGCATGTGTATTAATATATGGAAAAAAAAAATACATTATTTATAATATCTAAATTTCTAAAATTTTGAATTCTGACATTGAAAAACTTATTTTTATATTTTGACTGGACTGGGCAAGCGGGTTTTGGGCCAAATTTTCACGAGCTTTTTGCAAGCGGGTTACTAAGCTAGGATTTGGGCGGGCTGCCATCTTTCAAATTTATCGAGTTTCGAACCTATTTTTCGAGTTGAAAAATGACATCCGTGAATAATCCAACTTATGAACACCCCTAATCATATAATGTACACATTTATTTTATATATATAAAAAAATATACATCTATATTTTTTTCTTTCTTCTACTTTTCCATCCGTACTTCAAAAAAAAAATCAACCCCCTTATTTTTCATCCCCTACCAAACGGAAAGGACCCAAAAAAACAAAAGAATTAATTCCATAAAGAATAGGAGATTTTTTATTTTGGGAGATTTCTCCCAAACAATCTGTTATCAAAATGTGTCTTAAGATGACGGAAGCAGTACGTACCAGTCAAGAGTCTGGTGGATCAGACGAGACGAACTTACGATAATTTTTGTGGGGTCGGGCCGATCTCCATGACCGACCGACATACATGGAGAGCCATGGTGATGATTTGTGTGGGGGTACAATTACATTACAAGCGGTGCGCAGAGCATTATCCATGTCCTGGTTGGTTTCTGCTCCAATCCAATCCGGGTGGGGATATTCCAGTACTAGCGACATACGGGACATTTCACTCACCCAAGTTCCTGTACTGTACCTGCATTCTGTCTGAAAAAACGGTACACGCACCCACGACACCACAACATGACAGTACCATGTCGTGCTTATAATCATTGAAAACTTGACACAACCCTTTTTGTGTAATATACACAATACCATTACCAGGTAATACTTGCCAAGCACTCACTGGCTCAAAATTTATTCAATTCATCTCTAACCCATCAATGGTAAATGTAAAATCAAATACAAATTCGTGTTGGATTCCTGAGTTTGTAATTCCGTTTATGATCCATACACATCAAGATCAAAATCATCCTTTTGAGTAGTAAATTTTATTAAAAATTACTAACCCTAACACTTCGTTTGGTATAATAAAACAATAAAAAGATAAAAAAAATTAACAGTTAGTAAAAAAGATAAAATATCATGTTTGATAAAAAAAATAATAATAAAAGATGAAAAAAATAAAAAAAAAATTAATTTTTTTTCTAATTCACCAAAATCAATCCCACCAAAATAAAAAATTCAAGTAGATAAAAATTAATTATGTGTCAAAATATGTTAATTGTCTACACATTATTTGATATATATGTATCATATTTATCAATTACATATTATATATACATTAATTTCATATATAAACATAATAATAAATATGTATTTATATTTTTTTAATAAAAGCTTAAAAATTCAAAAATATAAATAATTTTTTTTTTCATCTTATTAAACACAAAAATTGATCCTTCTTACTTTCTATCTTTCTTACTAAACACAAAAGAAAAAGAAAGAAATAATAATTTTTCCTTTGAAGAATAAAAAATATACCACTTTCATTTTTCATCAACCGTTCCAAACAGACTATAAGCATAATCATCACCCTGATCCCAAAATTTCGGCTTTTGCAGGGATCGTCTTTCCCCTTGCTAGTACAAACCACACTAAACTAACCTGGGCTCGGTCACTCTTCCATCCCTACAACAAAAGTCAACGAAGCAAACACTATTACAACAACTGTAAGCCTACTACTATTCAATACTTTTAACTCTTTTTAATGAAAGCCACCTGATTCCCACTAATGATCCGATCCTTGTAAGTTTCGTACAAAAAATTCTGATAAGTAACGATAAATGCAATGCTATTCAATTTTACCGTGTCCCTATTAGAGGAGCAACTCAACGTGCAGTGATGCAAACCAAGCCTTGTACAGATACATGTTTCTTGGAATTCTCAACCTGGAAATGGACAAACTCACAAGGGGCAACATGAAATCAACCAGCCAAAGTGAAATATCGACAATTCTGCACAAAAACTATCAGATAATAACAAAGCAAACAAATTAAGTAAATGGCAGTACTTATTTCGAGATCAAGCAAGCGTTGCACGTCTGCCTCTGTCTTTTTCATGTTCAGAACCAATCATGAAATCCATTACATTGAGAGCATTGATTTTGAAAACAGCACCTAGGAGACTAACAAAATACTAACTAGTCAGCAGCACTTGGCTTAACAACACTGGACTGCAAGAAAACTGCATCCTATTACCAAAGATGAACGAACAAGATTTTCAGCTGATCATGATCTCGATCTCTCCCGTGAACGACTGCATCACCAGTACAGATGAATGTAAGTTTCACATTTATGTAAACAACTACAAAACTTATATATGCATCGACCAAATCACTACAATTCAGAAAAATTCAGACCTTCGGTATCGGTCATGCAAGGGGCTTTCTGTTGCACCATACCCGGGACTGTCCCTCAGGTCTGGCTTAGTATTTGGGCTGGCGCTGCGATGATACTCATCATCAGGACTAACCCTCTCCCTTCGAGGACTTGGGTCAGCCCCATGACCATATTCAGGGCTTACCCTCTCCCTTGGGCTAGGTCCACGGCCATTGTCAGAAGTATGCCTGCCTCTTCGAGGACTTGGGGTGGGACCACGTCCATAATCTCTTTCCCTTCCATTGGGACTTGGACTAGGGCCACGACCGTAATCAGGACTAGCCCGCTCCTTTCGGTACGGACTTGGGCTGCGGCCACGTCCACGGCCATAATCAGGACTTCCCCTCTCTCTCCCATAGGGGCTCGGAGATCGTCCCCTGTCATAACCTCTCCTCCCAGGTGACCTATCCCGATTTCTATCAGGGCTATGTCCATTCTTCCTTTCATCATCATCTTTGATTGCATACTCCACTGAAATAACTCGATCCATCAGCTTGCTGCACATCAGAGAATGATACACAATCTTAGCTAGATAGAAATTTGATATAAACAACAGATATCCAGCAAAGAAGTTAAACAAATACAGTAAAAACAATTGCTTTTTCAGCAGAATCTGTCACATCTTCAGGCATAAAAGTTATACAATTGGACCAACTATTTTGGCCACCACAATTGGAAAAAAAAAATTTGCCTAGATCCCCTAAAGGAGAACCTACCTCATGTTTGTAGCATCCAGAGCTTTGGAGGCATCCTCCTGTGATTCAAACTGGATAAATGCAAAATTTCTTCTGATCCTAATATTCACTACTTTCCCGTATGGGTCAAAGTGCCTCTCCAAGTCCCTTTCCTTGGTATGATACGGATCGAAATTAATAACGAACAGAGTCTTGGATGGTCTCATATTCGTTGAAGACCTTCTTGAACTCTCAGGCCTTCTAACGCTACGCTCTTGCTGCAGCAAAAAATTATTCAACAATGCACAATTGCAATAGAGTAAACAGAGAGCAAACACAAAAAATTAAAGCACTGCTCGTACCTTTGTCCACTCAACACGAAGCCGACGTCCCTTTCTTCCAAATTCCCTCCGGTCAAGTCCTCGAATTGCATCCTCGGCATCTCTCTCATCATCCATATAAACAAACGCAAACCCTAAACCAACAAAGTAAAAGCACAAAAACAAATGCCTTTATACCCCATAGTTCTAAGAAACAAAAACTGAGTTAAGGATCCCCATGTGAAAGGACTTTTTAATCCGAGATCGCATTTTTTCCTTTTAAAAATATGCAAACCATCTATACTTCCGCCACAGAATAAAATAGACCGCTCTGTGAAATCCAGAAACTATGACCAGTAAAATCAGTAACAGACCTTGCATGATGAATTAAGTGGTGTCAAGGAACAAGAATCCAACGGTGGATGTCTCATGGTGATTTAATGAAAAGTGAGTGCCTTCTCCAATTATTCTGTCAATTTATTCTGCTGCCTCTGCTTCGAGGTCGGTATGGTTTCTAGCTTGTGACATGTCTGAAAATGAGGGCTGGGCAAAAGTCATGAGGAATGGAAAGCAATAGTCTTGAGGAAAATGTGTGATGGCGATGCCATAGTGGATCAGAGTGGCTCTTCTTGAAAACAAGAAGAGGATGCACGGCACGGCACGGCCAGGAAATGGAATGCAGAAGGTCCCATCCATCAGCCAGGAATTGTAAGGAGTCTATGGACATTCCAATGTAATCCTGCGTCAAAGAATTAGTTGAGTATGGGGGTTTTACCCTTTAAAAAACATATCTTTTTTCTTAAGCATATCCTGACACCCCCTTATAACTCAATAAGGAAGGATAGCGGTTGCCATTGTTAGGTCATCTGGATAATGTTGCACCATGCTGCATCAAAAGCCATCCAATTTAGTACCAGATTTGGACATTGCTGAATGATCCCGATGCTGAAGAATCCACGGTGTTGTTTTGACATGATTTTTGCATGATGACTTTAATTTACAAAACAGGCAAATTTTGTTCACTTCTTCTCAACTTCAAACCGCTTGTGCTATCCTACCCATGTTACATACCAGAGCACACACATCAGGTTAACATCAGCCACCACAAAACAGATATTGACAGCAACAGCATCTTGACTTCTTGAAATTACATTAGTGGATACCAAATCGGCTGCCATACCCTGATGTCTTAGAAAAGAGATCCTTTTCTCCTCCTCAGTCCTCACCAGTAGTCAGATTCAGAAATCACAGGGTAAATGTGCATTCAGACTTATGCCACAGTCATGTATGAACATAGTTGTACAATAGGTCAAAAGTTATTGTCCAATTACATAAAGAAGGTATCATTTTTATTTTCTTTTTCTCTGATAAGTTATAACTGGTTTCCGTTACTGTAAGCTACGTCAGCAATTGCCCAAAGACCAATAATTGCAACTTAAAAATGATACAACACCAAGTTCAAGCAGATCAAAATCTCAGAAATTTCGCAAATTAGGTTCTAAGTAGAATAGTTTCCATGAGCAAAGCCATGATTAAGCCATATAAATAACAGAGCCACAGATGACAAAGCAATCTAACAGTTATCCGGCTAATAAACCAACAATATCCATACAGCTACAATAATCAAAGGAATGAACACCCAAAATAAAGGCTAAAATTACCAGACTTCATATCCACTCTATCCACCTTCCCATATCTCCTGAAAAGTCTCTCCAGATCAGACTGCCGTGCATCATAGTCAAAGTTTCCACAGAAAATGGGCCTCATTTCACCTAAACAGAAGATGAGGTAACTTTTGTAAACTCTTATTTCAGGGGAAGAAGATACACACCAAGCTTCACACATTTGACAATAATTCAAATAGGAGATTTTCATCGTATATAGTCATTTCAATCATACAATTATGGATTCACGTACAACAAAAAAAAAAAAAAAACAAGCAATCAGCAAAATGAAGACTCTTACTAGAAAAAACAGAGCATACATCCCACAAATAAAACTTCCAACAGATAACATTTCTTTTGTGTGTGGCTACTTGACCATCTTACCAGAAAATGGCTCCCAAGCAGGAGCAGAAGCATCAAAAACTAATTTCCAAGAAGAAAACTTCAATTCTCCAAAGAGAAACTTCAATTTTAGGTCTAAATTGCAACATCTCTAGCAGAAAAATGCTAAAGTTAAACATTGAATCCTGGCGATATGCATAGCCAGATTAAGGCATCAATCCTTTTTTTTTTTCTAGTAAAATTTGTGCAGATCACAAGGAAAACAAACAGATTGAAGCCTCTGAATTTTCTCCTTGAGTAACTTTCCTTCAACACAAACAAAGAAATTTTTCAAGATTTTATTTTCAGTTCTTAATAATATTAAAACATCATTCCGGGGAGCTCATACATCAACTCTTAATGGCCTCATCCTTGAGGTGGTTTCAAAAGAATTACCCAAATAACAAATCAGTCGACCATTAACAGATGAATTGCAACCCTTTCACAGCTTAGAACCCACCAACTTGGCCATAGTTCCGCATGGGTAGCACATAAGGAAGAAAATAGAACTCAAAAACCAAATCTTCTTCTACAAGTCAATTATCCACAAATTGAGACCGTCAAATCTAAACATCCAAACGTCTTTTAAAACTAGTTTGACAAGTTCAGGAGACTTGCCTAACATCTGTGAACCCATTTTTTGAGAATGGCATACTTCACCATCTAGCTTTGTTTCCCCAATCTTCCCAACCACCAAACCGACAGTTAAGAATCAATAGCGAGACTTTCTCACCAGCTATATAAACTTACAGTAGCAAAAAAAAAAAACATTATTCTACGCTGGCGAACACTTCAAAAGCATATACACAAAAAAATTAGTAAGCAAGATTAGAACAAGAAATCAAAGCTTTGAACAGATCGAGTTAAAGAACAATCAGATCAAGCCGTTCGTGTGTACATAACATTAGATCGGACCCTAATACTCCGTTTAAAATTGAGAAACATCCATTATACCAAAAAAAAAACTTCAAAATTTCAAAACCGACGATCCAAACATTGAGACGTTCATTAGAACCCCAAATCTAGGTTAATATGGTCTAATTTTGACGGAAACCAAACAGATCTAAAGAGATCACCAGATAAATTTGCTGAAATTCGAGATCTGTTGCGGACCTTTGGAGATTGGAAACCCTAATAGCTACAAAGAGATTTCCACCGTCGCTCGATGAGAAAGAAAATATCTTGTCAAACAAACGGCGACCTAATCCTTGTGGGTCATTATATTGTTCAGCAAAGTATCTGATATTTATTAACAAGACCCTGACGATTTATTGTTTCTAAAAGTGGCACGTGTACTTTTGATCAGATGAAGAAATGAATGGGTAGCTAGAAATTGAATAAGTAAATCCTGAATTCGATTCTTTACAATCTTTTGATATTAGATGATGAGCAATTTATTTATTATGATTATTTTATTCGTAACTTGTATGATTTATCTTTAATTAGTTCAAATAAGAGATTATTTAAAATATGTGTAAATTAGTCCAAGTACTCTGATCGTTGAATCAAATAAAAAAAAATTAAATGAATAGGTCTAAATTTGGGTTGAAATTTGAATTATTATTATTATTTTTATGAAGTTCGTTTTACTGATTTAGCTTACAAGTTGGTATTGATCAAGCCTTTTTTTTTTCTTGATTAAAAAAAACGTTACTAACCAATATCAAATTAGCCTCTAGCAAGTTAGTTGGTCGGTTTCGACCTAGCTCATTGTGCTACACTTACGAGTGTTAAAACATAACATGACTTATTAAAGCAATATCAGCACAACACAAAATTAAAAAATTTTTGTATTTCTTAAACCACCATTTTTATAAATAAGTGGACCTAACATGACATAATTAATAAAAGAATCAAATATTAATGAAATGAACAATGCTACATGGACCTTATCTGGGCATCTGATGATGTGACTTTAATGTAACTGTTTGATTAGTTGTGAGTTTCAGTGTTAAATAAAGCCCAAAACTAATTCAATTGTTGTACATCATTAGGTCCCTAATAAAAGGTCCAAATAGAATTCTCCTAATGAAATCAATCAAAACAAATATACGACACAATTTATTTATATAACGGTTATACACGATTCATGCACGACACAAATTTTATATGATACGACTCATTATACACAAATTAATAAATAAATCGAGTATGAATGAAATATTTTTTGATACAAAATCGTTAAGACTTGACATAAACTTGTTTCAACTAGCACAATTGAGAGACCTATTAACTAGTAAAATCTTTTCTTGAATATTTATGGGAAATATTTTTTTTAAAAATAGATAGAGAATTACATATAGGTCCCTTGAGGTTTGTCACTTAATCATTTAGACACTCAGATATTTAAAATATTACATATAGACTCTCTAAAATTTGCATGCACGTAACACTTAGGCTTTTGTCGTGTTCGTTAGTTTATCTGTTAGTAAATTATACTTAGACCCTCTAAAATTTTTAAGCATATAATATTTAAACTCCTCTAATTTAAAATATTATACTTATACAAAAAAAACTCTAATAAAAGATATAATATCAAATATTTTAAAATTTGCAACTAAATTTCATATTATATTATGTCATTTATTAAAATAAAATCAAAAATAAACATTCAATTTTTCTTTAAAAAATAATAATCAGTATATAATTATACTATCTATTAGAAGGTTAAAATATAATGGATATAATATTTTTTATATTTAATTGGTATAATTTGATTATTTAATAGATTTTGTTAGTTCTATAATTAATAAGTGGTCTAAATATAATATTTTAAATTTGAGAGGTTAAGTGTTACATACTTATAAACTTCAAGAAGTTTGAATATAATTTATTAAGGAAATTATTAGGAGAAATTGACGATAGGCGTCTAAGTGTCATATGCGTACAAATCTTAAGAGATTTATGTATAATATTTTAAGTATCAATGGTTTAAGTGATTAAGTAACAAATTTCAAGGAAAATAGATGTAATTCTTGAAAAAAAAATGTTACATAAAAAAGGGTGCGGAAAAAAAAAAAATGTGAGAGGGAGAAGGTTAGGCAGGTGGGAAAGTAGAAGAACAAGTCATCCCACTATAGACCGTAAAAGCCCAAATGATCCTACCAACAAACAATAATGCCCAAATCCAATGCTGTGCACATTTGGTTTAGGGCCTGAACTTCGGGTCATGAAGCAAGCCTAACCTCGTTGCTGGTCCGCTAGAGGATAGGTAGGCTGAAATAAGGAATGTTTGACTATTTTAACAAAAAGAGTTTTTTTATGTGAGAATTTAATTTTACATCGATTAAATAATATTTTAATATTTTTATTTAATTATTTTTTTGTCATAACTCTTACATTAAAAATTCAGTTGTTGAATTCTAAAGGTTCTGACGGCTAATTTTTCGACAACTATTTTATTACTTATTATCTGATTAAATATGAGAGTAATTATGATATATTAAATACATATATTTTCTGTATATATATTTACATATTTCAGTATAGATGATATAAAACATATATCTACTACAATCTCTCTACTACATAAACTTTTGGGAAATATTTAATGGTGTCATGTGAAGCTTCTACTTCATTCGATTATGCAGATCTGAGTGAAACAACAGTCAATAGACTAAACTGTTGTATACTTGAGACAACACTTTGTTTGCTTCTGTTCTATAATTCTTTCATAAAGGAGCGCAAATCGTTTTAAGAGAGTGATTTAGTTTACGTCTCACCCTGTCACTCACTTTATTTTTTGCATTCAATTTTTCCAACAAGGAAAATATGAGAAAGCAAAATGTTATTAGGACCTTAGGACACACCTTTTGCTGAACAAATGCTAATTTTTTATTGCAAATAGACACAAATAAGACTGATAATTGAGTCGAGTTATTCGGGTTTAGCTCAAATAAGACTCGATTGGAGCTTGTTTTGAACAATTTTTTACACTCATTTAAAAAATGAGTCTAAAAGGTTCGACTCGAACTCGCAAAGATTGACATGTTTATATGTAAAATATGCAAGCTATTTAGGCTTTGTTCGTGTTCAATTCGTTTTGGGTTCAACTCATTTATTAAATGAACTGAATTTGAATAATTTTTTATGCTTATTTATAAAAACGAGCTGGTTCAAATTAAACTTATAAAATTCAGCTTAATTATCGCCCCTAGACACAAAGTTGTTCATATTTGAAGGACAATTTTGATGAGAGACCAGGCTTCAACTTCCAAGAGAAGAGGAACAAGAATCCGATAAAGAAGCCCGAATTAGAAGCTATCAAGGCTTGGTAACACGTGATATCAAATTTTTTTTATGAATGCATACAAGGGAGGATACATGTAAATTTTGAACATACTTTACCTAATATCATATTACAATCGCAAAAGTTCAAGTATATCAACAAGTCTAATCCTGAGCAATACCTCCAAAAAAAACCTAACTTTTGGAAGAGTGAATAAGAACTTATCAATAAACATGAAACTCCTCTTACAACAAATATGAAATTTCAATTCATTTTTTTTAATGAACACACAAAAGAAGATACATGCACATTTTGAACATATTTTAACCAACATACTACTGCAGTTGCAAGAGTATCGAAAATACTAAGCTAAAGTCTAAGTGATAACAGAGACGAGTTATAAATTCAAACGTCCTGAATTTGAATTTTAGTAATTCCTTGAAGTTCTTTTATGAGAAATTTATCTGTTATGAATATTCTAATTTTGACGTATATAATTTACCTTTTTTTTTTAAAAATTATTCTTACCGAGAGATCAAAAATTGCCCATCAAGTTTGGCAAGTGTGTCTAGATTTTTCTAACTACTTTCTTAAAAAATAGTACTTCAAAAGAAGGGACAAAAAAAAAAAAAAGGCAATACAAGAAGGGACAAAAAACAGAGAGGACAAAAAAAAAACATTAAAGGAAAGGAAGAGTGCCATGTTTCCCACTCGTAACAACACCTCAGTGTCCTGGAATTTCACTTCATTTTCAAAGATTGTGACTACTTACCTAAAAGATGTATCGTGTTTATTTACTAATAACCAAGTCTTCTGCTTTTAATCTCGAAAAATGTTAGATTAATTTAAAAATTATATTTAAAAAATAAATTTGATAATTTTAACTATTGAATAGATAATAGATCCTAATAAATGTTAGGGCCTACAGTGAAATCAATGATTAAAATTATCAAATATAATTTTTAAATTTATTTTTTGAGTCTATGTAACATTGCTCTTTAATCTTTCTCGGTAGGCCTCTTCTTCCAATATCTCAAGACCATATACAACCACACATATCTCAAGACCATATACAACCACACATATCACGAAACATGAATGTCTTAGAATTTCTCTTCATTTCAAGGATTGTGACTTGTGTTTATTTAATAACCAAGTCTTCTGCTTTCAACCTTTCCCGGTGGCCCATATCTCAAGACCATATACAACCACACATATCACGAAACATGAATGTCTTAGAATTTCTCTTCATTTCAAGGATTGTGACTTGTGTTTATTTAATAACCAAGTCTTCTGCTTTCAACCTTTCCCGGTGGGCCTCTTCCTCCAATATCGCCAGAACATAAATTTGTCTGATCCGATACTACCACACATATGACAACATTCATCTAGGTCGGCAGTGGAACGAG